GGACATAACGCCCAAGAGACAACATTTCAAGGTCACAGGAAGACGAACAGAGCGATCTCAAACGATTAGATTAGATTAGATTAACATTCCAATATAGCCTCCGATGCATGCACATAAAGCCACAGCGACATGTCACATTGCGGAATATTCTCCCGAAAGCATATGATTGTCGCCGATAATTCTCCGACATCACCTCTTTCCATCTACTGAACCTTCTTCAGTGAATAAAACTCTATACACATCTAATCTCACCTCGCCTTTACTACCCTTGGGCCTCGAATGACCCTTTTGCACTTGACGGGCCGGTGACGAGCTGGCTCCACGGTGCTGGCACCATGGCTGACATCAAGGCCGATAGGACCGACAAACCGACAAGCCCGACAAACCGACACCAAACAACAGCAGCGAATGGCTCCCGAAGCGACCAGTCAGTCTCCAGTGACTACACAAGCACCGATAACGAAGGAGAGCCCCCCTAACCCACGAATATGAAGTGTTCAACATCCCAGCCCTATACCTATAGAAAAGCAATTTCCACACCCTCTCGTACTCTCCGCCCCCACCCACACCAACACAAACCTTCCACCCAAATCAGCTTATTTCCCAGTGATCGACAAACCATATACTCTATACAGATAGTAACTTAGTCTCATTACACACACCCAACCAATCTCACCCCATGAAGAAAGGTGGAAAGACATATCACCCCCTAATCATCGGATCCGATCCTCCCCTCCGAGCGCGAGACCGATAAAGCCCGCGGAGACGGCCGTTCGTGAACGTCCGAGCCGCGCAGAGCGTCAGTCAGCTCGGTTTAGCCCTATTTATTATGTATTTTACTTAAAGATAGGATGGTTTCCTACTTGGGTGATGTTTAATAAAGAGAGAGTTACTTTATTTTTTTCGACTTATTTTATCTATAATATCAGTCTCACGGCGCCGAAAACCGACGGGGAAAGACGACATTTAGACATAATGGCTCCTTCCCATGAAGCAACTATAAACGCTCATCTTGGTGATGAATACGAGAAAGATGATCGGAATTCTCAAAATACTCTACAAGAGTCAGATCTAGCACCCGACACAGAAAAGCAAGCGCCAACTCAACCTCCGACGCAATCGCCGTGGGGAACGGCTGATCCCCCGCCTGATGGGGGATTTGCGGCGTGGTCGGTGGTGTTGGGGGCTTGGTGTGCGTATTTTTGTACTTTTGGGTGGATTAATAGTATGTTTATCCCTTTCCCTATTCTGTGTTGGTATATATTGCAGGAAAAGAGAGAAGAATCTGGTTTGTTGCTACGTACATGCTAATAAAATTGCAGGTATTGGAACGTTCCAGACTTATTATGAGACGACGCTGCTCAACGGGTACTCGACGAGTACGATCGCGTGGATTCCGTCGTTGGAGGTGTTTTTCATGTTTTTCATGGTTTGTCTTTTCTCTCTTTTCGGCACAAAATGAACATCTGAGACTGGTCTGATACACTATAGGGCCCCATTGTCGGTACTCTGAGCGATAGACTCGGTGCTCGCGTGGTCATCATCGCAGGCTCCTTTCTCCATGTCTTTGGCCTCATGATGACTTCCATTTCTACGGAGTATTACCAGGTCCTGCTGTCGCAGGGTGTCTGTAGCGCTATGGGGCTGTGTGCTATTTTCCAGCCATCGATGAGCTCCATTCCCAGCTGGTTTAACAAAAAACGCGGCGCGGCGTATGGAATCATCGCTTCCGGGTCAAGTGCCGGTGGTGTGATTTTCCCCATCATGGTGGATCGGCTCATCACTCGTGTCGGCTTCGGGTGGGCGATGCGCATCGCTGCTTTTCTGATTCTGGGGTTGCTTGTCGTCACTTGTCTTACTGTGAGGTCGAGGATCCCGCCAATGAAGCAGCAGATGGATAAGGAGGCCTTTATGCGGCCGTATAAGGAGGTGAAGATGTTGTTTCTTGTTTCCGGGTTTGTCCTGTTGACTTTCGGCGTGTTCATTCCTATTAATTACATGGAGACGTCGGCTATTGCGGATGGGATGAGTACGAATTTGGCGCAATATCTGGTCCCGATATTGAATGCTGGAAGGTGAGCGGTCGACTATGCTCCGAAGATGATAATTATGCTAATAGGTTGTAGTCTCTTCGGTCGAATGGGAGCAGGTGCATTCTCCGATAAAGTCGGGCCATACAACATCTTTGTCGTGGTTTGTTCACTGACGGGTATCCTGGTCCTCGCGCTCTGGATCCCTGCGACTAATAACCCCGGAAACATTGTCTTCGCAGTCCTCTTTGGTGTCACTTCTGGCGCGTATTTCTCTTTGTCCGCTGCCCTGGTAGCGAAGATTGCTCCGCTCCGGGAAATGGGTTACTGGACTGGCGTGCTCTTCCTGTTCGCGTCAATTGGTGCCTTGACGACCAACCCTATCGCAGGCGCGATTTTGCAGCGCGATGATGGGTCGTACACGGGCATGAAGATCTATTCGGGCATCTTCCTGTTGGCAGGCACCGTGTGTGTCTTGATGACTCGTATTCGTCAAACGGGCTTGGTGCTCAAGGCGAAGTTCTGACCGTTTCCCTCTTGGCGATGTTCTGACATTCTCTGCTCATATTTTTTTGGTTTCTTCTGTGATATAAATAATGTGTATATTCCAATGGCTGGTTCGGCCTTGCCAAGCACGAACTCAAATTTGAGTATCCATCGAATGCTCGAAGCCCGTTATGTCGACACTCTGCATTAAGCCAGTCCAGTCCGGGAAACCAAGGACGCCAATATCCCAATTAACAAAGTCGAAGAAGGACTCTACCATTGGCGCATCCGCTTGGCTGGTACCTGTCGGTTGGGTCTCGTCGACTGAGCCTGCGGCCTGCTCCACAGCCACCTGCATCTGTCGAATATACAACGCCTTGTCACGTAAGCGAGTAATTATTGCCCACTTTGGCCCCGGATTGGGCCACAACGGGTCCTTCTCGGTGAGGTCAAAGACCAAGTTGACTGCTCGCCATGCGCGTTCAACGTGCACCCCCAGTGGATACACACAAAGGTGCCACAATATGTACGTGAGGAGAAAGTAAGGCATGAATGTAGAAGAGAGCCAGCGATATCCGCGGAGAAGCGCGTCCGTAAACATTTCATTGGTGCGTTCGAGGGCTTGGCAGGAGATGTCCAGAGTTCTGGTCTGCAATTCACGGCGCTCGGCGACCGGTATCGAGGTGCTATTTGTCTGGAGAGCTTTCTGGTTCACGTACATTTCCATTTTTAGCAATAGGACCTCCCCTAGCAGCATGCCGTGTCGCTGGATCGGAATATTGGGGTCGCCATGTTTTGTATAGGTATTGTATACGTGCTCTTTTGCTTCCCGCACAATCTCAGCGGGATCCTTTCCAGTGACTTTCGTTGTCAGTGTGCGATGCAATTCCAGGCGCTTTTCGTTCACTATTGTTGTGATCAGGGATGCTGTCATCTCTGTCCAGCAGTCCTTGGAATCCGGCGGCATCGTCGCCGTAGCAGAAAGATCCTGATCATCGATATTCGCAGGAAATGCGGTGTCGTAGAGCTCCTCGCCGCTATTGACACCAACTCCATGATCCTCGACCGCACGACTATCAGCTGTGCAAATGTGCCACCAGAGTCGGCGGCGCAGCTCACATTCCAGCGGGGTCAGCTTGAAGTGTCTCCCGTCACGATGAAGGCCAATGGATTGTGCTGCCCGGATGACCAACCCTCGCATCGTCCATCCAGATCGTCCGCTATTGTAATAGCGCAGGCACATCTAAATATACAGTGTCATGAGCTACATCCCAGATAGAAATACTAGTCAGCTGATTCTTACCTGGTAGATACTCATTGCCTGCAGCGATGTTAGGGTGGGAGCATCCAGGAAATTTGACTGATAGAGAGCAAGTTCCAACCCTTGCTGGTACCGCTTGACTTCTGATTGCCTCTGTTCATGTGCTGGGTCCTCGGCAAGCACACTTGTTGTGGCAGCAAAGAATATGGCAAAAAGCAAAGCATGAAGATCAGCAGGCGCGGCCGCCGGCTGATTAATCGCTGCGAATACCCGTGGCTGAGTCGACGGAACGTGAAGTACCTTGATTATCGGGTCGATGCGATTCAGAAAGGTTTGCCAGAGCTGTGTCGATTGCCACTGACACGGGTGCAGTGCATAGAGATGTCCTTCCTCCACAGAGCGACTGACAAGGAGACCTTCCGCTCTGAGCGTGAGTGGTCGTCTGGAGCTGCTGGTGTCGCTCTTCGGCGTCCCAATGGCAGACTGAAGCTCTTTCTCATCTTCCAAGACTTGGGACAAGAGTTGTTCATTGATATACCGGCCGTCCTCAACTAGAAGGCCGTCGTGCGATGGCTCCGCCGCCGCAGTTGTGCCCGTCGGGGACGGTTCATTGCTAGATGGGGATCCCGCACCTGGTGCAGAAACGGCCCGTCCGTCTGTCACTTCGTGCTGAAGGTGAGGCGACCGGTTCTCAGCTAAAGCCGCGATGGAGCGCTCAAGTGATTCCAGTCGGGCGATGACATCAGAATTGTGTACTTTTGGAGGCCGACGCTTGACGCGATTGGGGCCGGGGTATTGACAGAGCACATTTGCTCGTACACAAGCCCCACATGGAGAGCTCTTATCGCAGCGGACCTTGCGTTGGTGGCAGCGCAAGCAGGACCGTTCGACGTTATAGCGGCGTGCGGATTCCATGGCTACGCTTATCTTCTGCGCGCTGCAAGGGGCTGACTTTGGTCGGGGAATTTCCGGCCGTCTCCCATAGATGAAGTATGGCAGATGAAAACCAGGGGAGTGCCTCGATCATCAGCCTATGGGTTGGAGAGTTGATGCGACGCCAAAGTAACCTCCGGAGACGGCTGTTCGCGAACGTCCGAAGATCCGACAGCTGACATTGCTGAGTCAGCCTGTAAGTATCCCACCAACAGCTTCGAGCAAATTGGTTACTTGATTAATGAGGCGCGATTATTATCACAGGAAATATTTAATGGATATCAAACTCTGTATACTACGACTTCATTCTTTGTTCGCATCTATAGGAGCGCACATTGTGTTAGGAAGGCCTACTCTGGTAATGACATGACAACTTCACCGTCGCAGAAACCCGCAAAACCGCGCACACAACCCCGGGGCATAGTAAAGTCGGGGTTCATAGATGGTTTCACAGATATACAGGCTACTGTTTGTCCTGCAAAATACGAAAGGCTCACAGGAAGCGACCCTGCTCGGACAGCCAACTCGCAACATAATTGAAGCATGTTTTGACGGTGTCTCCAAATTCTCCGGGGTACGACTCACACTCGGTGCAAGGGTAAATGCCATGCTGAGCGCCTTGAACAAATGCGATTGAGGTATCGTTAATCTTGACTGCATTGAGGTGGATTTTTTTCAGCGTTCAAGTAATCGTAGTGTCCGGTCATTCCCACGGTCAAGAGCGGGACGCTGATGCCCTTGATCGATGCTGCAGGTGCCATCTGGGTGGAATCATACTCTATGCCCTCGAAGCTCGTTGGCTCGGATGGCCAGGGTGGAGAGGTACCGCCGGACGGTAGTCTTGACAGCAGCTTGTTCCCAGGAGTTGGAGACATCGACCCAGCCGGAGGGGACACGCACCGATTGAATAATCTGCCCGGTCGTACCGTCCTTGTCAAGCAAAGTCCAAGGATAGGTAGTGTGATGCAAAGTCCGAACATCTTGAGAAATGTAGAGGTTGTTGGTAGCAAGGTAAAGAGCCGCAGGGATTATGAGGGGCTCGTCATCACCAAACATGCCGTTGCCCTTCTCAGTTTCCTTGAGACGGTTCTGTGCATGTTCCAGGACACGGTTGTTGCGAGCCACAATCCCCTTCGTAAACCTCTTTTTGAACTCTGAAGTGAAGTTTGATTGAGTGCCATTGCTGAACCCGTTATCAGCGTTATAGATGTTGAGAGACTGGTTGAGTTTTGAGGCCTTCATTTCATCTTCGGTTCAGACTCAGCAGGCCCATGATGGAGATGCCATAGTTAGCATCCAGCAGCATTAGCCCGTCAGCAGGCTCCAGGCCAACCAGAGCATTGTAACAAGGATTAATTTCTCTGGGCCATTGCACGCGGACACGCCATTCTCTGCGATGTTCTGATATTGGGCCATCATTGCACCGCCACCGCTGTGGCCGAGAATAATCACCTTGTCGATATCAGTCTGGTTGCGCAGCCAGGCCAAGCCCGTGTTAGCCTGGAGCATCATGTCCTCAAAGTTTATGTCTGACATATAACCGGGTTTGCTGGCTTCGGTGTTGGCGCAAAACACTGTAAACCCACGCTCCTGAAGCTCTGTGCAGCCAACAAAGGAAGTGTAGTCCTGCTCCGCATGCATGATATAGATACCGATGCGCGAGCGTGGGCTCGTAGTGTTGGGTCTGTAGAGCCCACCAAGAACGCCAGTATCATCGAAGTCTTTCAAAATGGGGAGAGGTAATTCAGAGGCAGAAGCAAGTTGAGCGAGCAATGTCAACCCAGCAAGGGTAGTAAGGCTGGAGGGACAGGACCGGCTCATATTGGACGTATATGCAAAAGCGACCACAATCAATTCGGTGAAGAGGAATCAACCATGTGCCACATTCAAAGATGCACTATCCCCAACGCCGACTTCCCCGTCGATAATGGCTATTTGGGAGGCATTTTGCGAACAGCAGGCTTTGCCAACTTAGCTGGACTAAAAGTTTGGTAATTGTGCCAATGAGAGAACTTCATGTGGCTTCGTAGACATTTGCGATCATCTCCATCTTGCTGCTCACTGATAATACTAGCATAGCGGTAGCAAAAGCGGCATTAAACACTCCCAGGTAATAGTCGGAAGTGGTAAGGGGAAAGTAAGGGAAAGAGCAGATAGTATCCCCCCGGGTCAGGTGACAACTACCTAAAAGACGACTTACTCCGGCTTCTACAGCCCAGTGAGGACGTCTCCCTCGTCAGCGAGTAGGTATATGATTACTGCCATTATAAATTCATGCCAGTACCTCACCCTAACTTTCTTTAATGACTGAGTCCCTCTCTACCCTACCGGATAAACAATCTGCCCTAATTCTTGACCATCCGTTTACAAGCCCCCACAGCATTATTTCTTATCAAACATACAGTCTCTAAACTGTGTATCTCCCTCTGCTTCTCATCTAATCCGAGAACTCCCTTGAAACGTACTCCTACTTCGTACGTATCACAACTATCCTCTCCTGTCGTGATCCTGGCGTGAACGAACAATGGGCCACACAATGTGCCGTAATTGCCGCCGTTGAGGGTGTGGGCTGGCGGTGGATCTTGCGTTTCAGCTTCGGTCGGTGTTGCAACGGTCCCCGCTCTCTCTCTCGCCCTCTCCCTTCTCTATCTCTTCCGCCCGGGCAGGACGGGTGATCTGTAACAAGTTACTACTCCCTAGATAATATTGCTTACGCAGTCATGCTATAATACCCAAATTTATATGGGGTGCTGCGATGGAGGTGAAACTGACACTGTAGAGGTTACTATATGTGCACAACTACAAAGGACTGAGAGAGATAGATTGTGAAAGTAGACGGGACCTCGGGTCGCTTTTGATTTATAGTGTTTACAAAGTTATATACAAGAACGTGAACAACTTCATCCTGGACCCTCTATATCACCTCTCTCTCTCTCTATCCTCTTCCCATTCTCACTCTTTCAAATACGTATCCGTCCGGAGTGAGTGCATTTACTCAGCAACGCACTGGTAGTAGTAGTCGTTCTGGACCTTGCAGGTGTAGGGGCTGGCACAGACAGTAGGGCCGGTCCAGTTGATACCACCGCACTGGTAGTACTGGTTTACCTCACCAGCAGAGTTGGTGGCCGAGGGACCCTGGGGGTCGCTGACACCGACGACACCGCTGCTGCTAGCAGCAGCGCTGGAGCTCACCTGGCTGGGGACAGCGGCAGTGGTGGTGGGAACGTAAACGGAAGTGGGGGCGAAAGCGACGCTGGAAGAAGTAGGAGCGGCGGCAGGGGTGGTAGCAGCGGCGGCAGGAGTGGTGGCAGCGGCAGCGCTAGAGACGGCGCTGGAGGTGGCGCTGGACAGCTTGCAAGGGGACTTGGACTTGGACTTGACCTTGCTGAGAGTAGTCTGGCTGGCGGCGACGGCCGAAGAGGAAGAAGAGGAAGAGGCAATCTCAACCTGGGTGGCGGGGGTGGTGGTCTGCTCAAAAGCGGCAGTGGTGGTGGTGGAAACAGCGGAGGTAGCAGCGGCAACGGAAGCAGAGGCAGAGCTGGAGGAGGAAGCATCACCGCTGGGGAAGTACTTCTCGAGGATGGGCAGGTAGGTGGAGTAGGCGGTGCCATCGGTGGGCTCCAGAGAGTACATGTAGGTTCCCCACCAGGGACCGGCAGACCACCAGGAAGCACCAACCCAGACGTCGGAGTTCTCGGACATGTACGCGAGCATGCCCTCGACAGCCTCCTCACACACGGAGTTGACACCACCAGCAAATTCACCGATGATACCCTGCTTGTTGTTGGTCTTCAGCCACTCGGTAGCCTTCTCGATGCGCTCCTTGCCGATCGTGGAGCTGACACAGGTCTCCGAAGTACCGGAGCTGTCGGAGTCAAGGTACTGGTGCATCTCGTAGATGATCTTGTCCTCACTGTCGGTCAGGCCAGACAGGTCATCGTTGTAGGTAGTCCAGTCCCAGGCACCAGTGTAGGCGTTACCCTCGACGAAGATGTACTGAGTGGTGGCACCAGCGGCACGGATACCGTTGATAGCAGCCTGGTTGAGGTTCAGAACCAGGGACTGCTCCATGTCATGGTACTCGTTGTCTATTTCTGTTAGATATCTCCTTGTATAACCGGTATAGAAGGTCTACTCACTGGTATCGAAGATGACCTTGTCGTTGTCGGCGAATTCAGTAGCGACGTTCGTCCACCAGGTCTTGAAGTCGGAGGTGGACTCGATGATGCTTCCATCACTGCAAGTTGTTAGCCATCATATGCCATTCATCCTCAGCAAACTGTATCTACTTACAAACGTCCGTAGTTGTGGGGGTCAAGGACAGCGTAGGCACCGCTGTTGGTAACGAATTCGACGGTCTGTGTAACCGGTTAGTGTTATAACGACAATGATATCAAGGGCATGAGCGACAACATACCGACTTCAGGTCAGAGAGGTAGGTCGAAGCGAAAGAGCCGGTCAAGCCATCGGGGGTCAAACGCTCCATGAGGAAGGGGATACGGAAGATGTTCATGCCCTTGTTTCTCAGGACCTGAATCTTGGAGGTCTCGGGCCAGGTGTAGTCGGTTCCCAGGGTACCGGGGAGGGCAGAGCCGAATTCAGCGCCAGATTCGCTAGTACCAACCCCTACATCAATTAGAACAGTGCATCAAAGTTCAGATAAACATCACATACACTTGAAGCCAGAGTCACGCTTCTTCATCTGGCGGCTGGGGAGAGCGGACACCATGGTGGCGGCAGAGGCCGCAACGATCAAGTTGCTGATTCTCATTTTGAAAAGAATGTACGTCGAACTGGTCGATCAAAAGGAATGAATGACTAAAGGTAAGAAAGAAGGAGTGAAAACACAAGATAGAAGACAAGTAATGAATGTCAAGAGCCAGTCTTGATTGTGATGTGCCAAGTAGAACGAACGAACGGTTCGGACTCCCCATACTTATAATCGATCACTCGGGCAAAAGCAACCATCCCATAATTCCCTATCATTTCTCTGGTCCCACAGCTTAATCTCAGCAAACGCCTTAGGTGCTTTCTCTGAGACAGTTACCTTGTGGCCCGCCAGGGGATCCATCCACTAGGGTGGACTCCCTGAAGTCGAGAACATCTCGCCCGACTCCTCCGAAATAAGGGCACTGGGCCGGCGCTGGGCTAGCGCCGGTCCCTGAGCGACCCTTAATATCTGGATACGCCACGGGCGGAAAACAGGAAAAAGCACGACGAAAGCAGCTTTTTAGCTGCTGAAAAAATGTGGTTTTCAGGCAGTATGCTCAAGTGTCGGTAGTCACCACGGCATATCCCCGAACTCCTTTGTAGAACGCTGGGGTGTGGTGGAGAGAGCGCGTAGACCGTTGTTACACCTCAAGGCTTAGCCACCTAATGGAAACAGCCATGCCTGCATTGTTGCGACCATATCGGAGGGGATGCACTGGCCCCGTGTCAGTCATCCTTCATTTCTCCGGGCGAAAATTGCCTGCCTGGAAGGCGTGGGGCCATACCATGGCATCGCGCAGGAGATCTGATTAAGATGAAACGAGTTAGCAGCCTAAGCTTCCTGTTCGTTGGTGGAGTGATTCCACGGTTAATTAAATTTCTTCCGGGCCGGTGGGAGCACGGAACTGGTCAATAGGCCCGAAGACAAAGAGAACCGTTAGTCTATTAGCATTCATATCGGCTTGCAGATTGATTGATCACTTTTGTGCCCTCCTGTCCTACAGGCTGGTTTCTTCAGTGGTAATTTCTGGCCGACCCGTCTGTATCCAACGGTGAGACAAGAATTTGGGAGACCCACTCGGACCGTCGGTGGAAATCATGCCGTCCTCAGTCGAGCTATTGAACATCTCATGCTTTCTTCTAGCGAAATGCCATCTGGCTGCTGTGGGGGATGCAGAGTCTTGCATATTGGGGGCAATAATGAGGGCATTATTGCGAGGGGTGTGAGCGGGAGAGGTTGTTCAGGACACGGAGGTGACAGCGACTCCTGAGAAACACGTGCTGAAATTAATCCCGAGGCTGGCCAAAAAAAAAAAAAATCAATAGTACAATAATCCCCTCAAGCCATTAATATGGCCTCCTAATCTGCCAGGACTTCAGGATTCCCCGATGTTATTTCACCCGGAATAACTCTAGAAGCAAACATGGCATGTCACTTTTCGGCCGGCTAAGTATTGATTGTGGCAATGGCCGGCTTCTACGGGCTTCTAGGAGGCTTACTATTTATTCACTCCATATCGCAATCGACTTTCCCGGAGCTATTGACCTTGGTTTACTATTTTAGGGCTATTTTATATTGCACGCCGTTATAAATATTTACATAGCCACAACCACCGAGGCCGATTGGAAGGCCGTGAGCGGAGAATTAGATTGCTATGGATACTGTTCGGAGCACCCCAGGACATGATAGGCGACTCATGAGATTCTGTCGGCTTCGTTGTTGTGTTGGCCGACATGAAATTCGAATGATCTATCACCCTGGCCGATCGGGATCGCGTTCGCATCGTTGTCATATAGTGTGCGTTCAAAATACCGCACTCGTCCATCGTCACTTACCAGGACTACCGTTTGTTGTTGAGTGCCATACGGCCCATGCAGGAATGACAGATCCATTGCATGGTGCTCCCCGCCCGCAGCACCATTCGCATGCGTGCTATCCACACACACAGGAGATACAGTGTGTGCCGGCTTGGGGGGTTTCTCGTGAGCACCCAGGACAGGAATGAAGATGCTCTTCCGAAAATACGGAAGGTAGTCCTCCGCAGTCGCATCTTCTGAGAGCGTCGGGAGGGTATTGGTGCTCAGCATATCAAGGAATCGGGTAATAAGAGCATCTTCGTCCTCCCCAGCCTGCACGTGCGTAGCAATGGCTTCATTCATTAGTCTTTCGCCGTCAAGGATCTTAGGCCATGAGCGATCCTCGAAGACTGTGTTACTGAGGCCCAACGTCTGGCCCGATTTCGTGGCGACCCATGCAATTTGGTCCATGGTGGATGAGCGATTGGAGACGATTGCCAGGGGCTCATTGATGTATCCACAGAGCAGGCTGAACCCACCGACATTCCTGGCGGTGGGACTCGCAACCATATCCTGCACATATTTCCGGGTTGACCGCTCCTCGTCAGAAGGCGCAGCAAGCCAGCTACATACAATGGCTCCCCGACTCTTCGCCCCAATGGCTTGTTCTGATGTATTTTCGCGGTAGTTGGTCAATACTGCCACTTTGCCTTCTCTGGTCACCCCCATCCATGTGCCATGTGGCTCTCGCGCTAGATCACGGCCACCTAAGATGTTGGACTCTGGTGAAGGCCACCAGCCAGCGGGAGATGTCGGTCGACGTATGTATTCCTAGACGCCGTTAGTTTTGGACGGATCCGAGCATGTGGTTTGAATCATTGTCGCGTACATCCCTGTTGTTGATGATGATCAAGGGATAGGAAGGATGTGCGGTGGATAATAGCGCGATACACATTGCGACGTTTCTGGGGGACAGAGGATGCAGGTAGGAAGGGGGTACTGGTGTAGTAGGGATATTCTTGAGCTCGGCGTCAGGCAAGTGAGCTGCCGCCACCTATATGAGGGGAAGGATGGTCTCGTACGACAGGCGAGCAGGATCAGGCGGCGAGTACTATTGATATACAATCACAAGTTTCGGGGAGATTGTCTGATTCCAATGACAACTAGTAACAGGGTTTCTGAATTCGATGAGCAGAATTGGCTCCAAAGCGTAGGGCGAGGTTCTTCTGACGAGTCCAGAAGACAAGGCGACTGTTGGGCACTGAGGTCATCCGACAACATGACCGGCAGTTCAGCCCCACCGCCTTTGTGATGCTAAGGAGAGCCCTCCGCTCTGGCAGTGAAGGATGGCATTGTACTATCATTCAATGCTAAAGTAGGCTTTTAGTAGGTGGGTAAAGTGGCTAGTTCTACATTGGGGCTTGTTGCAGTGATTTTGCTCTTCAGTTTCAAAGCACTACTACCCTCATCGTGAATGTTATAGCGGGACATCATCATCACATTTGATGCATGGTAGCAGCATATATATATTAGTACTATGTTAGTGGTACTACTCTCCATCTGAAGGAGGAGTCAGATTAGTGTTGCTGATTTTGTCTTGAAAATGTCTTAATCACACAATTCACCTCTGTAAATATAAAATGCTGGTTAGAAAATGTACCACATTATCTTAGTACCCATTCATTCTGCTTCAAATCAGTAACTGATATTGTTGTTCATGACGTCAAGACCGCGGCATTTCCCGAAACGGCAAGGCGGGCAGGCTGCCCTTAGGATGGAACTAGTCCCGAAGAAGAGAGCTCGATTGCCTGAGCCACGCGGCTGAGTTAAGGCATCCGCACCGATACTTGCCTAATGCGGCAGGTACCACTGTAGGGCTCGATGGATCATCGTGGCTTGGCCCCAGTTTCTCAAGGCAGCCACGCTCCGTCTTGGGCCTTTTCTCTCCCCGAATTCTATTTCCATTCCTTCTCTACTACCACCTTATCCTCCCTCCTGGAATCTGCAGGCCATTCCGCTAAGAATCTTCAAGCAATAGACTTTTCTTGCGGCTGGCCGCTCTCCTTTGTGTCGGTCCGTTGGTCGCGTGAAGCTTCTGCCCCGCAATCCAGCAGCAGCTCAGCTTACCGATAAATTCTTTCCCCCCTCCTAGCACCCTTTTCTCCAAAGGAACCCAGTTCAGCAAACGGATCGAACTGTTAACAATCGCCCATCATGTTCGGTATCATTGCGGACCTTTTGTCGTGAGTACCACCTGCTATCTTTCGTCATCGAGTCCCGGCGATGCCGGTCGACCCCGGACACCCCGGCCTTATGAGTTGTTCCCTGCACTTTCTCATATGCTATGCATATGCTAACAAGACCATGCATTTAGCTCAATCATCACGATCCTGCTTCCTATATTTGCTTCCTTCAAAGCCCTCCGGACTGGCGACCCTTCCCAGCTGGCACCATGGCTCATGTATTGGGTCGTTCTGTCGGCCGTGCTGATGGCGGAGTCGTGGACGATCTTCATTCTGGGATGGTACGGCCACGAGACAATATCAGGGCATGCTTAAGTCCGTCTGCTGACAGGTTGTTGCAGGTTCCCGTTCTATAGCTGGATCCGACTCTTCTTCTTCTCCTATCTTGTTCTCCCCCAAACGCAGGGAGCTCGGAGTCTATACCAGGAATATGTCGACCCCTTCCTTGAGCACCATGAGCGTGAAATCGAGGAATTCATTGGCCGCAGCCATGAGCGTGCCAAGGCTCTAGGACTTCAGTATTTCTATCAAGCCCTAGACTACGTCCGGGAAAATATTCTGGGCTTGCCGGCCCAACGTCCCGCATCTCCTCCACCCCCGACTGGCCCGGCTGCCTATGCGCAGTCGCTCTTGTCCCGGTTCAATATTCCCACTGCCGCTGGAGGCTCTGCCCCAGCCACAGGCAACGACTGGCTCTCTGCCATCGGCTCCGCGGTCGCTTCAGTTGCATCTGGCAAGAGTGCTGAAGCACGCGGGGAGGAGCTGTCTGCTAGCGGAACACTACTGCCACGGGAGGTCGCGTCCATGTCCCGTGCGGATAAGGCCAAGTATATATCGAGCCAAAGAGACATGTTGGAAGTGCTGCGTAGCGCTCTGGCCAAGGAGGAGCGCGACCTGCACAGTGCAGGCGCAGAGGTGGATGACCTGGCGTACGGTGGTGCACCGCTGCGAAAGAACCGCAGCGAGAACTCTTTTACTCATGTGGAGCATGAGGATACTCAGGAACGCTCGTCCGATGCGCATGGCCGCACAAGCAGCGGCAACTGGGCCTCTGGTTGGTTTGCAGGTGGGGAGCAAGCTGGATCCTCGGGTGTAGACCATGGGAACGAGGGCGCAAGAAGTCGGGCTCACTGAAAACCTAGACCAAGCAGACAGTTCTCTTGCATGAGACTAGCACTCTTTCTCCAATGAAAAAGCAAGATTGATAGGGCGGGATGTCTTTTCAAGCGAAAGCAGCCGCAATCCAGCTGAAACAGAAGTAGCAGCGCTACGTGAGTGGCAGCGACGTATGCGAAGTAAATGCGCCTTGCCGCAGCCTCTCTGCACGAGCCCCTTGTCACTGTACAGAAAAGCCCAACCGAACCAACACCACCACGTAGATACCGACAGCCTTGCGTCCCAGCTGGCTACTAATAACACTCTTATCTACCCCTCCCTCAAGGCTCAGGAAAAACCACCAACGATCCCCGCAAGCACCACCACCGTTAAATGCAGCGCCATCACACTTGAACATGCAACTTACCACCTTCCTATTCACCCTCATCCATCTCTTAGCGCTCACCTCCGCAGCAATGACAGGCAACCACCTGGGGCTGGGGTCTGTTTTCAACACCACACAGACAACCATCCAACGCCTCCAACAAGTAGCAGGACATCTCGTCCCCAACACATCGAGTCTGAATCTAACGGGTCTGAATTTGACGAACGTGAATCTGAATCTGAATCTGACTCAACTCGCCAACCGGACCGGTCCCTACGTGGATGCTGCGAAGCCGCAAATTGCCCGAGCGGGGAATGCTACAAAAGACTATGTTGTGAAACATCCCTACCAGACAATCTTTAGCATCGTGGGTCTTGTCTACCCGGGAGGGTTGCTTAACCTGGTGGGATATGGTCGGTTGGGGCCGTGGGCAGGTATGTCTACAATGCAATTGATTACACCATAGCAACTTCGGGGGTGATATTGCTATAAGATTTTGCTGTTCTACTACTTACGATTCACTGTTTGGGTGGTTGTACTCATGTTGGGTGTTTGTGGATTGTCGCTCTACTCGATTCTCTGTGTGCGGAGTTACGGTACTACTTACCTTAACCCACTTTACTGACCCCGTCACTTGATACATTGCTTATAGGGTCGTTGGCAGCATGGAGCCAATCCTACTTGGGAAATCCTGTCGCACGAAGTGTCCGGGCGTGTTTGCAAAGCGCGGCGATGAATGGGTATGCGGCGGCTCCGGTGTTGAACACTGTGCGGGGGGTGATAGTGTCAGCTGGGGGTTATATGGTGTGGAAGGAGGGTTTCAATAATGGGAAAGGTGAACAACAAGAGGGAAGAGAAGGAAAAGAAGAATAAAATCACGGTGAATATGGGATCTGGGGATGGGCAGAAGAATGGGAATATTTTTTCTAAAGAGAGGCTGGATATTTCATTCACCGGTATCCATAACCAAGGCAGTTTGTCTTGTCTTGTCTTGTTCAGTTAGTTACTTACTCTTCGTTTAAGTACATGCTGGCAGTCAATAGCGTCGGCCCAATCAAGGCAGGGAAGATGGAATAGGTAGTGGATTACTACTACTAGTTGACTAGTACTAGTATTGTCGGCCGGTTGGCCGATGTCAGTCAGCCAGGCATGTGAGGAATTGGCAAGGAAAGAAAAAAAAAAAAAAACACAACACCGGCCTTACTCTTCTGCATAGCCGGGATGAGGCGAGATCGCACAAATCCCAACGAAGTATCAAAGAGAAAAAAAAAAAAAAAGAAAATAATATTACTTTCTATTAATAAACCTGCGGTGTCTATCTGGTCTGTGTCTGCCTGTCTGTTCTTGCTTAGCAGTTAGTTATCGATAGGGATGGATGGATGGGTTTTTCGCCGGTGTGTGGTAGGCTGGATGCATGTCGGTATCTGCTTGGAATGCTGGGAAATCGGGCTTAACGTGGTTTTGGTTTGTTGACCGGGCGATCGGGGGTGCATGGTTGGGTGCTCGGGCGTTGTGAAGGGGAAGATCGGTTTTGTGATATATGCCCTTTCCGTCTTCTATTTTTATTATTCAATTCTTCAGTTCATGTTTCTTCCCTTTTATGCTTGATCTTTCGTAAGGAAATCTTGTATAAGCCTTATTATTTTAAGAAATTGTAAGATGGGATAATAAGCTGCAACTCCCGCCCATCAGCTGAAGAGTTGTGCAAGTAACACAAGCAATCAAGCAAGCAGTAAGTTAAGGTGTGGTGCTGCCGAATGATTCCCATGACCGTATCATACGGTATTGGAAAGTAAGCTGCTTGCTTTGTGTGGCAAACGCCAAAACCTAGTGGGTGCCTAAGGTGTCAAAATGATAGCATCCAGCGTCATTGCTTTGGCTAAACCATTCACTACTACTACAATGATGATGAGCATTGAAGATAGATAGTAGGCAGAAGAGAAAGAATCTGCGATGCATTTCCTGATATAACACATCATTTCTCATTTCTTAATCAACATATGATTTTACTGGGTGATATAAGCGCTTAGGATAGCGTCTCGCCACGGACAATGTCATCCCAAGGTAGAAGCAGGAAGCGCCAGTGCGAGCCTGAGCGACAAGATCTTGGTCACTTACTTACCAGACTAGTTAACTACACAGTACTACTAGTCCGTTAGTCAGTAATGTTCAATGAAAGAGGGTTGGTTATTTACCCCCAATGATACCACTCTTGGCCTAGTGACATCCTTGGCTCCGGTGGCCGTCGCCGCCTTGACCCGATGGAGCGGAGATTCCGCGTCAAGATGTACCTCTGGTGTATTGTGTAGGCCATAAATGACAATCAATCAGATGGCGCAGTCACTAAGTCTGACTCAAATCACAATGGGGTGATTCATCTTTTCTGTTCAGACGCACATTCCTTTCATTCTTACTAGGGTCTAAGAAAGCTGGGAAAATTATTGACGTGGTTCTAGCCCACACCTACTCTTTTCGCTGCTTGTGTGTTGTTGTGTGGGTTGTTCCGAGTAGTCACTTACAACCCGTTTGGTGTTGGTTCTGGCGGGTGTCCTTACGCCTAAACCCGAACGGTAATTAAAAAAAAAAAAGTGAGAAGGGAAAAAAAAAAAAAAAAGCACCACCAGAGAAGAAAAAAAAATAAAAAAGAAAAAAACCACCACCACCACCACCAACTTTTACCGGCCAAACACCAAAAGGAAAAAATAGGGAACCGAAATCTTTTCCCTCCAAACTTCTCGCCTTTTTTCCTCCCCCCTCTTTTTTTCCCTCTTCTCCCTTTTTCCTCTTTTTCTTTCCCCAGACCCATCGTCGTTGACCACGACGTGATATCTTTCTTGTTCTGTGGTCTTCACTTCTTCCTTCCCCCCTCCCCTCCCCATCTCGCTCGTCTTTTCCGCAGACGACCCAATCTCCCCCCTCTTCGATTCCTTTCCCGTTTCGTGTGGGAATCTTTGGATGTGCGGTTCTAGAGCGTGTTCCTCTTGACTGCGGTAACACACACCCTTGACATCACCCTTGCTCCCCCCTCCGAAAAGCCTCACGCCTTTCTAACGCAATCGTCTTCTTGTCAAAAACAGCCTTACCGTCCTCTCTTACACCCTCTCCTCCCATCTTAAAATCAACTATCAGCGCTTGAACCTTCTTTGCGTATCACCTGTCTAATGAGCTCGATCCCTCCCAAGTCAGGCCTTCAACCTCAAGGACAGAGCACCTCGACTCAGGCCGCCTCCTCCGCACACACTTCCTCTCCTTCAGTGGGTGGGAAATCTTCGCCTCAGGCGCCGGTTCCTACGCCCTCGTCTACCTCGACGACGGCTCCTCGTTCCTACGCCAACGCCACCAAGAAGTCCGCGACGGACTCGACCGCCGCTCCCGTCACCGTGGGCGGCCAGTCGCAACATGGGAAGTCGACTACAGCATCTCCTGTGAGCGGCAAACCCATGCAGCAATCCCAAACCCCCGGCGTCACCATCGTCAATGGCGCCCCGGCCCCGGCCTCCCAGGGCGACCACACTAGAAAGCCTTCCGTGACTATTACTTCCGCTGGCACCTCGGGATACATCCCTAACGGTGGCCAAACCGGTCGTCCGAACAGTCTGCAGTTTGGCTTCGCTGCCAACCAGCAGTCATCCCCCAACATGGGCAATCCCGCTGTCCTGGCTAACCAGCCTCAGTCCGGTCTCGGTGTTACTCCGCCCATGAACCCTCGCGTGACTTCTCCCCAGACTTCGCCTTCTCCCATCCCGCAGCCCGCCTCGAGCGGTGGCCGGCCACCGCCGTCGTCGTATCAGTCTCAGGGCAACGTCCCGAACTTTGGCAGCTTCGGTGACTCTGGTGACAACGTAAGTGGCGAATTTCTTGTGTTTCCTTTCTACGAGCCCATTTTATTCCCCTTTTGGTTCCCTTCATCTTTCCCACATTGAAGAAAAAAAAAATTCTCGTCGAGTGGAAGAAAAGAAGATCAGATCGGGTGGAATTCCCTAGCTAGGAATGGGGCAAATCTTGCGGATCACATCTCTTTTGCTTGGCATTCCGACTGCATACCTACCCTGTGAAATGCTGTGACTAACAATTATGCGCTAGCAACAGATGCGCCCGGCTCCTCAGGCACCCCTTGGTCCTGGCGCTCAGTCGACCCATCTGCGTCGCGAATCCTCCCAGTCGACCCACAGCGACATGAGCAACCACATGGGCGGCGGTCCCGGCGGTCGCGGCGGCTACCACCATCAGGGTGGTCGTGGACGTGGATTCTCGCAGTCGAGCTACCAGGGACAGATCCCCTACTCGCCTAACGCCAGCTTCCGTTCGACCCCCAATCAACCCCGTGGTGGTCCCAACATGGCTCCTCAGTTCCCCAACCAGCCGCGCCCGATGCCCTTCCCCAACTCTCCTCACCAGGCGAGTCGCAGTCCCGCATTGGCCAATGCGCACCCGGCCACTCCTCAGATGAACCAGGTCCCGATGGCCCATCCCCAGATGGCGCCTCAGCCCTACTATGGCCAACCCATGCCCCCTCAACCTGTGAGACCCCATCCCTTGCAAAAGCCTGCACGCCGCGGTGGCGCCTTGAATCGCAGGAAAGGAACATCCCGTGCCCCGGTCCCCCCACGTTCTTCTGCTACCCATAGCCCCCACATAACTCTGCCTCCGAATT